TCCAACCGCAGCAGATCATACCTTCAAGACTCGAAGCTGGATGAATCGCTTCGTTGGGGAGGCTATAGTGGTTAACGAGATGATGCAAAACCCATGAATGATCCACCAGAGACATGATTGCTGATTCGTCACAAGCCGACAGATACTAGATAGCCGTGTCTTGCAGTTTTTCAGTGCGGATCATAGGCAGGAGAACACTATGCAAGCTACGAGCCAGCTCTGCAAAAGGCGGAGTTGCCTTCCGAGTGGAAAGAGTCTATGCCAGAGCTGTTTCAAAGTCCCACCCCCTAAACACCAAAAACACATCATATCATGGCAAGTAGACCTGAATATCCAGCACATTGTCACCGGTGAGTGCAACAGCATGGTGCATCCAGCTACAGGCTTGCTCGGGGATGGTGTTCAAGTAGTAGTTATAACAAATACTCCGGCTCTTTGACGACAACTATACAACAATCAAGGCACAACATCCAACATAGTAAGTTTTATGCACCTAAGGCATAAGAGCACATGACCTCCCTAATTTCTAAAACAATCTATACGCTACATTGAAGCATACAGCGATCCGAGCACAAAACCATGGCCACGCAAACCGGAAAAAACAAGTGCATCTTCTAACATCTTCATAGCAAGTTTTCAACCTGCGATTTTCGTCAGGCATCTTACACTTTTAACAAAACATGTCTTACACCCCTCTACGATCACCCACTGAAAAGTAGTAGTGCTGACCTAATTCCTTATCTATCCGTTAACTTGCTTAGGGAGTTTTCAGCCAATGGCTGGTGCGTTCCTTTTCACTAATACCTTTGTTTTCGCGCAGCATTGTAATATCATCCCCAACCTCTAGTTCCTTGCATTTTCTATTGCGCTTTGCTTGTAAAGATAAGATCTAAATTCACTCCGCTTGCATTTTTTTCTTGACTCTAATGGGGTCATGTCAGTAGCAGATGACACCATGCCATTATACTTATTGTATGTTAATAACCGTTAATACCACGGCCAAATTATGACATATCCTTTGTAATTTGTGCTTGCTCTTTTTTCATCTGCTTCATCCCGCGTAAACAGCATATCTTTATAGCTTCTTATGAACCTCTCGGCGTAGGCGGGATGACCTCTGGTTCTATGTATCTAAATTTTCGCGCTCTCCAAATATTAGAAACTGGCTTGCTGCATAAACTCCTCTTCTCATCACTGTGATACATTTTGCTCTGTCTTTCATGTTTCGCCATCCTTCGCCCCTCCTTGCTCGTAATTAGTATAACCATAGCATATTTACTAAACCCATTAGCTGACACCAATCCTAATCTAAATTTTCGTTGTTGGAAACCAGCTTACTATTCAAACTAATTCAGCTGCGATTTAAAATGTGCGCTACAAAGCTATTCTCTCCGCGAGGCTTTCTGTGAGGTTGTTTTAAAAAGCTCTTCAGCATCATCCTTTGTAATACTTTTGTCCTTTTCTCGGGCATCTTTAAGAGTAGCCCGCTTACTCCCACCCGAGCGGTCGTTATGAATATATATATATATATACAATATCGCTAATGATTCTTTGTTTGTCAGAACTCACGTAAACATGACATATTAATAGACAAAATGATGACACTTTTTGGTTATTCATATTTCAGTTTGAAATTGAAACTAAATTCCGTTACGGTACACTACCCAAAACCTCAAAAAAAACCTTAAACCCTAAACCCCAAGCCCTAAACCCCATAAGGGGCAACTTATGTTCTCCAAAACCTCAAGGTCCCATAGGCTCCCATAGGCGTCCCATGTATTTTATGAAGCCCCTATGTTGAGGGGCGTGTGTATCTCAGGCAGATTACTCGAAAGACTCCAGAGACATCCGTTTTGAATAATTGTCCAGGCCTGAAAGATTGCTGATTGTATTTACGTATGACAGTTGTTGATTGCAGTACAAAATACCTCAAGATTCTATTCTGATCGAGTACCCTACATTTCTGCTACCGTCTCGCGCTTTCGGCGTTGCATTTGCAGCAAGGCCAGATGACAAAACCTGCTGTGAAAGAGCGGAAAGACGAGGATCCAGTGGAATCTGATGCAGGTGCCTTAGCCACGGGGCCAGGAGAAGTCCCAGGTGGATAGTTTCCAGGTGGGTACCCTCATACTCAAACAAGGGTAAGTAAAGAGGGCAGTTGGGGCTCCTCTGTTTTCTTTGGGTACTGGGGAGTGTTTTGAGGTTAGGGTGTACCCTCCCCACAAGAATACGTAGATGCGCATCATACAGACAAATTCGCATGAGTACCCAAAACCCTATACCCCAAATACTCAGATCCGCATCAGGTGAGTAGCGTTGTATCTGGGGATACTACTTGAAGGCTCAGGCGTCTGAGGTAGTAAGCAGGTTCCCAGAGAGCCCAATACACCTTAATGAAGGGGAAGTCCTAAATGATACTAGGATCCTTAATGTGATTTAAGGTATATTCCTTGTTCAAGGGGTATTGGGTCCCTGGGTTATGAATCATGAGCGGGATTCTCAGTCCCCCAACTGGGGTTAATCTGCTTACTTATTTCCTTTAGAACCTACTTGCTAAGTGTGGCCCCCCCTAACATGGAGTAAGATTATGTCTCCGTTTGTTGGCTATAGCTTACACCCTAGCCCCTAAAACACTAAACCCTAAGCTTCCTTGGTTCAGCAGTCAATAGGCCCTTCTCACGGGTGTGTCTTCGATCCATCCGGTGAGGTTGAGAAGCGCAGCCTCACTGTGTTGAAGTAGGTTTAGGGTTGAGGCTTGACCTCACCTCAAATGATGGTTGATATAGCAAATCATTTCAGTCTGGCTTTATTTCATGCTCGGGAACTATTCGAATTTGGCCCGTTTATTTCATATCCCGTAGGTACTTTAAATGACAGTTTCCAGCCTCCTACAGTGCACTGCAGGGAGGCTACATAGGGGCGCATGGGTCGGCGACTCAAACCTCTCACTCCTGAATCCTATGGCTTAGAGCTTAGGGCTTAGGTTTTAGGACTTAACGATGGGGAGTTCGAGACTGTCCGAGGAACCACACTCATAACTCCTAGTCCCTAAGCCCAATAACTTAACATAACTTAACTCTATCCTTTAAGTACCAACCCCATGCACACACGACCCCCAAACCACAAAACCCTAACCCCAATCGTCGTTACTATTAGTACCAATACAACTGCTACTATTATCACTATTGACCTTCAATATCTACCCTGAACCCTAAACCCCCAGAATATGACCATAATCATAGCCCTAATGGCCATTATTTTGCATACTTTTGGGGTCCAGGTAAACCCTAAGCCCTTTGAAAACCCAATCCAAGCCCAGGCCTCGGCTTCAGCTGGCACCGCGTGCTCTGCAATGGACTACGTGAAGATGTTTGATTCTCAGCCTCCCCAAAGACGAATAGCCGAATAGCAATGAAAACGCCCCTCCCCCCAAGAGATAGTTACATTCAAAGGTTGATGGTGAGGAACTTACTGTTTGGGGAGGGGGATTCATTCATGTGTCATGAGGATTGTATTGATGTGGGGCAATAAAGGGACCTTCTTTCCTGAATGCATTGGGGAATTTCTCAAAATCTGTCCCCATCGAATGTCAAAGGGGGCCCATATTCCTCTTGCAACTCCTACATATCCCTGTATTCCTGGGGTCCCTAATGGCACCTCTTTTTGACAATCCTCATATAGGCCCCCCTCCAGGGGCACGGGCTGCACCAACACTTGACGTATTTTACTTGGGAACTTCGGGCCACGAGCCACAGGGACTCACATAACACTTTTTGCATTGGTCTCACTATGGGTAAGGGGGCTTCGTCCATCACGGGTCTTGTGGGTACACTTCCTACATGCGGTGAAGCTGTGAGGGGAACTTATGCGCTGCTCCTACAACAGGCACTGTCGGTCTGTTTGGGAAGGCTGGGGGGATTTTTGTCTGAACGGTAATTTCTTGTGGTCCCTCCTCCAAGTTCCTAGGCGCTCGAACGCACAACCGTGTTCATTTCTTAGAGTGTGAGGCTTCCAACATGATGGGTTCTCTAGGGAAGGATTAGGGGAGGTTTTGGGGTTTTCGGGTGTAGGTTGTTCGGGCTTAGGGTTTTCGGGGTCAGGGTTTTGGGTTCGGGTTTAGGCTTTTAGGGGTGGCAAATGGCCCCGCCTACTCATGTGAGCCTGCAGCATCAATGTCGGCTTAGAGGCAGTTTGTGGCGTCGAATCGGCGCTAACTTAGCCGCCGTGCCGTAGACGCATCTGTAGCTGCCAAGGGTCACATTTAGGGTTTAGGGGTTTGGGGGTTTTAGCAGAAAGGCCATGTTGGGTGAGATCGCGCCCAGCCCCTTGCCTGGCCAGTTGGGAACCTTTTACCGTTTTGGGTAATGTAAAACCCACTATAAACAAACACCACCAAAGCATAACCTTGGAAAACACCTGGTGTCGAAGCCTGAAGAGTTACCAATGTTGGGGTCTTAGGCTCCGCGTTTTTGTGGTGTAGGACAGCTTAAAACTAAGATGATACTGGTAGTTATTTGGCCCCCCTACAGTAAGGTCCTTGCGCACGGGGCACTCTGCAAGCAAACCACCCAGCCACACACTCCGTGCAAGCTTCCAACAGCCCTGGTACCTGACTTAAACTGCAACATGTTTTTTTGTTTCCCGCTTCTGTGGCCTAAACACAAGAAGGAGTATGAAGTTGTGATTTTTCATTGACTATACACAAAGCCAATCAGGAAGATAACGTGTAGTTCTAATTCATATTTCACCATGGTCCAGGTAACCTGCTGACTGCGCCTCAAGCGTCTTTCTGTGTTGCTGGGTCAAGGTTAGGGACGGGTCAAGGTTTAGGGTTAAGGGTTAAGGGTTGAGGATGACGTGATGACATAGGGGTTGTATAGGGATTATCAGGGGTATGGGGATCCTTCTGCATTGTTGGGAGCATGTGTGTCCTGTTTCACGGCAAGAGTGATCTTTTTTTAGCGGGGCGTGTGGGAGTATGGGTATAACTTGAAAACCAAATGACATTTTTTCTTCCTGAGGTGCATGGGGCTAAGGTTAACTCTATTCCCAGTGTGGCTGGACTGGCACTTGCGTCAGTGACCGCCAGGAGTTCGACACGGAGGAGAGCTGCGAGCTCCAAGGGCCCTCCTGCTTGGGCTCGAGAAGATCTTAGATACGTTTATCCTTTTTCCAACGGCGTGGAGGCTTTCTCGTATGAGCCGGCGACCAAAAGGCATACCATCGACTACGCAAGAACCTGCTGGTATGTGCTCATGCATGTCATTGCCTTCACCTGCGGGCCTGCCACATTTTCAGTTCCGGCCCTCCTTCTTTGCGTTGGCCTTTTCGTTTCGTTGCAGACTCTGGGCATCTCTCTGTCCTACCATAGGCATTTGACGCATCGGTCCTTTCAGTGTCACAAATATTTCGAGCCGCTGGGACCCACAAGCGTAAGACACTGAAGCTGCGTATGCCAACATGCTTAAGGTTTGCAAGCTACCTCCAAAAAGAGTTTTATAGCTAATGAAGCAACTAAACTGTTGATGTGTGCAGCTGCCAGCCCTTCCTGCTGACTTGTAGCTTTCTTAATCTAGTATACCCCAACGGATGATATATAGGGACTAAGAGAAGACTCTAGGGTGGTCCCCTCATTATGGAAGCAGTGGTAGTTTTTGAGAAGCTCCCATTTCAGGTACTTTATTGCGTATTGTGGTGCCCTGAACATGCAGGGCAACCCAATATGGTGGACCATGAACCATACGTGGCACCACAGATTCTCCGACACACCTTGGGATCCGCACACTCCACGGGAGGCCCTCTTGGCGACTTGAGGGTTTAAGGGTTTGGGGTTTAGGGTTTAGGGTTTGGGGTTTAGGGTTTAGGGTTTAGGGTTTAAGGTTTGGGGTTTAGGGTTTAGGGTTTGGGGTTGGGGCGGGATATGGGTTCACATTACTGGCCCCTGCACCATAGGCCCTCTAAACTTAATGCTCGATTGGATTGCCTTGCACTCTTACACTTCAACTCCTGGTTGCTCTAAATTCGCGAAAGCTGTTGGATCCGCAGAAGAAGGACAGTAGACGAGATTATTTCGAGAACCTCTTCCCATATCATTTTCCTTGTATCCCTCTAAACCCTAAAACCCTTGATATCACCTGTGATGTCTCCCTTAACCCTAGACCCTAATGTCCCCCCAAGATCCTCCCTGATATCCCCTTCATTCTCCTTGTGCAGGGACTCTGGACCGCCCACGCAGGGTGGTTCTTTGAGAAGGAACGGGTTCTAGCCGAGCTTTTTTTAGTTTAGGGTTTAGGGCTTAGGGTTCAGCATCTAGTATTTGTGTTTAGGGTTCAGCATGTAGGCCTTAGGTGTTATGTCTAGAGAAGGAGCGAATACTGACCAAGATGCCGGAAGCTATTGTCGTATCACACAACTACACCGAACCGGGAGAAGAGAATGAAGTATACCTTCCCTGGTTCTACAGGGAGTCTCCGGAGTTCTATGACTTTCTTCGGGAGACCTACTACTTGCACCATATCGCGTTGGTAATATTGCTGTATATGTTGGGTGGCTGGAGCTTCGTTGTCTGGGGCTTCGTCGTCCGATTCGTTGTGAGTCTGCATGGTCCGGGTCTTAGCTGCCCGCAGTTCTTCTGCGTCACAGCACATGAGCTACAGTCTAAACTCCTTAAAGGGGGTTAGATGGGGGATTAAACAGGGAACTACTTAAGGAGTTGTTAAGGGGGATACTAGTAGTCTAGACTATGGCTCACATGGCTGGGGTTTAGGGTTTAGGGTTTGTGCATCCAACCAAGGAGTCTCCGCCGTGAACTCCTTCGCACATGTCTGGGGTGAGGCGCCCTTCAAGACGGGCGACGATTCGAAGAATAATGTTTGGGTTGCCATGGTGTCTTCAGGCGCACGGATCTGTTTTGCAAGAAGCATGCTCAGCATACTCACGAGAACTCTAAACCCTAAACCCACACAAGCAACAAGGGGTGCCTTCCCAGTTTCCTTTTAGAAGCTTTAAAGTCCTAAACCCTATACCGGGTATAGCCTAAACCTGCCTCAAACCACTTAAATCTGAGACTAAACGACATGAAGGTTTAGGTTTAGGTCGCCCCAACATACAGCAGTCGTTTATCCTTAGCATTGCGACTCCTATCCCCGTAGGAATTAGTTCCTATTTCTTCTTCTAGTATTACCCAAGGAGTTATTGAACGTAACATTTTTGATTGCAAGTCTACAGGGATTCCCCCTAAACCCACAACTCTAAACCCGGTAAAAACCCTCCTAAAACCTAAACCTACCCTTGCAGGCGAAGGTTGGCACAACAACCACCATGCGTTTCCAAGATCGGCGCGTCATGGGCTGTTTCCGCCGTCTGACTACAAGTTTTAGGGTTTAGGGTTCAGGGGGTTCACGGTTAAGGGTTTTAAGGTTTAGGGCTTAAGGCTTGTAATTTCGCGACGAGGGTGTAGGCAGGTTTTTGGGGTGGAGAGTGTATGGGTTTCAGGATTTAGGGATTCAGGGTTTAAGGCCTGGAGTTTGGGGGTTTAGGGTTGACGACTACGGTCAGACTTTTGGGTGTAGGGTGGGGCTATGATGTTACTCTAGCAATCGCTGGCGTGTTTCAGAAAACCGGGTAGTAGATTTCGGAGTATTCAATACTGGGATACGATATAAAGGCCACGGTAAGAATCCATTTTCTCATGTTTTGCGAAGCACAACGCAAGGCGTAAACCCACACCCGGAATCGCTGAAAAATGATAAGTAGCTTACACATGACATGGGCCTCCGAGTAAGCCCGCCACCATCTGGTAATTAGCATTGGCACGCCGTTCACGCAGGAACGTTTTTGAAGCCCTAAAACCCTACGCCCTAAACCCTAAAGCCTAAAGCCTGCACCCTAAACCCTTAAAGCCTAAATCCTAAACCCGTAAACCCCTAAACCCCAAGCCCTAACCCTACACCCTAGAATTCCTAAACCCTAAACGACGCAGGGGGCAGTTCGATTTGACATACGATGCTCGGCTGCATCAAGGAACCACAGGGCTTCAGGATCCCCGGAATTACTGGGTTGCTGTTAAGGAACTCAAATGAGCTATACTCTAAACTCCTTAAAGGGGGGTTATATAGGGAAGTATATAGGGGACTACTAGAGGGCTTATTAAAGGGGGATACTAGGAGTTTAGACTATAGCTCAAATTAAGTCACCATAATCAGGAAACCATATTATGTACTATATACCCATACCATGGTAACTTAATTTTGTGGTCCTTAACGGCAAGCTACACTACCTGGAGGTTCAGGGTAGTTCTACCCCACGTAGCATACTCATATTCACAACCCATTTACAAGCAAATTCGGGGACTTCGGAGGAGTACAATTGTATGTAGATTACAATTACTGCGAACCTCCAAGTAGTCGACCAAATTTCTGTCTTTGGCGGCTAGGGTTGCCACACAAAAGTACTCCTGCAGATTTTTGCATAGGCACATACTGGATGGCGCAGGGCCGAGTAGATACTCGGAGACCTCTAGCCCAGACCCCTGATTAATGAACCCCTCAATTAAACAGGGATTATCATAGGGATCCCAATATTCAGGCCCTTGAAAAACGGGTGTTTATGTATCTTGGGTCTACATTACCTAAACATATAGACCCCTAAACCCCTAAGCCCTAAACCCTAAGCCCCTAAACCCTAAGCCCCTAAACCCTTAAACCCCTAAACCCTAAGCCCTTAAACCCCTACCCAAACACATAAGTATACCATCTCCGTTAAAAGGTTGGAACCCTCCTTTCTGCCTACACGGTTTAGGGTTTAGAGTTTAGGGTTTAGGGTACAGTAGATGTTCTTTTGATGTTGAGGCTCAGTCCTCTGCCGCTGAAGCTTGAACCATGATTGACCCCCAATCTTAGAGGAGGTTAGCAGGGAATAAGGGAATAGATCAAATGGGGTTATGTAGGGACTATATACCTTTATTCCCTACTAGCCACCAGTAAGTAATTCCCAAGCATCCTAGCCCAAAACCCTCACCTAAACCCTAAACCCTAAACCCCCTGACTGAGTCCTTGATTGTTCTGCTGGAGAAGCTTGGCGTGATATGGGATGTGCAGTTGCCCAGCGAAGCGCAGATTGCTGCCAAGATGAGCTCCGCAAGCGAAGAGAAGGCTGGGTTGCTGTAAAGGAACTTAAATTAAGTTACTATATTGGGGAAACCCACAATGGGGTTTAGGGTTTAGGGTTTAGGATGTAAGTTACTATATTGGGGAAACCCTATTATTTACTATATATACCCATTATGGTAACTTAATTTAAGTTCCTTAACAGCAACCCGGAAGGTGGAAGAGCTGGTCGCCTGCGAGTGATCTAAGGGCCTAGACAGCTAGATTACGCTTGTGGAGCAAAATCACATTCAGCTGCTCTTACGGGTTGCTAGTAAGGAATGCGAAATTGAGTGGGACAACACATGGATAATGGAATGTAAGCTAGGATTGTAAGGGTGTTGTATAGGGGTCTTACATATTCTACAGGAAGTCAGACTTGATTAGAGAGTAGGGGGCTAGCTTTGTGCTTCCTATGAAGTACATTAGGCAATAATTATGTGAGCTATAGTCTAGAGTCCTTTAATGGGGTTATGTAGGGGGTTATATACGGGAGTATATTATGGGGGTTAGTAAGGGGGACACTAGGAGTTTAGACTATAGCTTCTGCCTTACAAGGCTGCCAGCAAAACATCTTTCAAAGGCTAGAAGTTAGAAGTATGGGCTTTAACATGGGCCCTTGGGCCTTTTAGGGGGATTCTAGGGACCCTTCAGGGTACATATAGGGTACATCGTCGGTACATAAGGGTTCCAGGGTTAAGGGCCCAGACAAGGGGCCCATGGCTTCGGGCTCCCTTCCGAGCTGCCATGGCCCTCCCACGATCACCCCAGCACCATCCGACCCCACCTCCGCCATCTCTTCCCCACCATTCCCCGCCGTTCCATCCGCCACCCACCCATCCGTGCACGCCTCCGAATTAACCTTTTTCCCTGCCGTATGTGCAGCGCCTGTAATAAACAAAAAACTCCCCGCAGCGATCGCTGCAATTTTCCGCGGGAGAGGGAGGCGGTGAGGGCCGCCCGTGCGGAAGCGCAAAGACGCTTCCGGAGGATGAACGAGAGGGCGGAGGAGCGGAGGGCCGCGGAGGAGGAGAGGGAGGCGCAGGAGGAGGAGGAGGAGGCAGAGGAGGAGTAGGTTTTTAATTTTTATTTGAATTTTTGCACTGTTGCATGCCATTCGTGGCTTTAGTATATTTTCTTGGGTTAGGGACTTCCGGGACGGGGGGCTGTACACTTCGTTTCCCTTTACTTTGCATCATGTTCCTTA